ATGATATCCTATAAAATTTAATTAGTTTAAAGTTAGGATTTTCAGGTTGGATAATCAGTTAATCAATTAGTCATAGTGTTTGGTAGGCCAAGGTAACTAGTAGTTACAAAAAATTTCTTATGGTAGAGATTGGTACTCTCTAATGGTAAAGTCAATAACTTAATAAAAAGAGAAAAATACAATAATATAGAGAGAGATACTCTAAAATATATTTGCAATAAAAAATAAAGAGATTGTGAACCTTTATTCTGAAGGTCTCATTATATATTTATAGTTCATGAGTCTTGTTATTTGGCGAAGAGAATGGACTAGAATCTAATTTTATCCTTGTGATATTTTGAATTATATTTTACTCAAAATAATATGTATTGGATTAATATAAAATATTGAAAGACCCATATGGGATTCCTAAAAAATTTTATAACGAGTGTTGGGCTTGAGAAGGTGATTGAACTCAAACATGCTAAGCTCGGAAATGATAGCCCTAGCCCATGAAAAATGAAAGTGGTTCTTGGACCCAAATATGTTAAGTTCATGTATGACAACCTGAGCCCACAAAAAGTAAAAATATGTTCGAGTGCAGTACCTGAACCCAAACACGTTACCTTTGGGTGTGATAGCTCGAGTCCATAAGGGTTTAAAAGTGAGTCCAAATACGTCGTTTAAACTCAAACATACTGAACTTAGGTATGACAACCCAAGTTTATTATCAAAGTGGATCCAAGTGCAATGTTTAAATCTCAACATGCTGGGCTCTTGCATGACAGCCCGAGCCTACGAGGGGTTAAAATGAGAGCAACTACTTATAAATTAGCTTTTCTACCTAGTTTCTCATTTGTACATTTAGTGTTTCATATATCTATACTTCATAAGTACTTTTGTGATCCATCTTATATATTGGAGCCACAAACAATTGAATTTCAAAAAGATATGTTATATGATGTTCAATAAAAAATAATGATGGATTAACAAATTAAAAAACTTTGATTTATAAAGATTGTTTCAGCCAAAGGTTACTAAAGTGAAGAAGCAACATGGTAACTTGAGAAGAAAATATATAATAAATACTCTTATTTGATTGATCGAGCTAATAAGTATTCTAATTAAATTTGACATTGAATTTATTTTAACAAGAAAAATAATTTGAGGACCATAAGTTATTTTAAGTATTACTCATATATTATTATTATTATTATTATTAATTAATATTTTAAAAGGCATAGGAAAAGTACTGTAGCTTTTTCTATGCCACATGTTTTCTTTCCCCCATATTTTTTATCCTTTCCTTTTTTCCTCACATTTTTGTTCTTTTCCTTTTTTTAAGGCTTTACATGTTTTTCTTCAAGCTTTACATGTTTTTCTTCCCCCCCCCCCCCTAAGATTATCTTCTTTTTTATTTTTTTTTGAAATTATCTTTGTCAAATTTTTTTAATATTGAAATGGTTGAAAATTTAATTTTGAATTACTATAATATTTTTTTACATGGTTTTTAATTTTTTTTTAAATGGTCTTTGTTGATTATGCTTTGTAGTTTTTTTTTAAAAAAAAACACGGTGTATTATTACAATGTTTCCCCATATGATTTTTGTTTTGGTATTGTGTTTTTCCACATGTTTTTTTTAAATTATCTTTGTTGATTTTTTTAAAATATTGAGTTGGTTGAGAATCAAGCTTTAATTTTCCCCACATGTTTTTTTTTAATTTTTTTTTGCTTTTTTCCCTTCCAAAATTGTCTTCTTCTTTCTTTGTTTTTCAATTTTTTGTGTTTTTTTTTGAATTTTTTGTTGATTTTATTTTTTTAATATGAAGTTGGTTGAAAATTTAGTTTTATAGTTTTTTCTTCAAGACACCGTAGATTGCTATAGTGTTTCCCCACATGTTTTTTTTTTCATTTTTTTTATTTTTGTCCAGAATTGTCTTTGTCGATTTTATTTTTTTTATATTGAGCTGGTTGAGAATAATTCTTAGTTTTTTCTTTAAAATACAGTGGATTGCTATAGTGTTCCCCCATATAATTTTTTTATTATATTTTTTTAAAAAATTATCTGTATCAATTATTTTTAATATTAAGCTAGTTGAGAATTACAACTGTAAATTTTCTCATGAAATACTATAGATTGTTACAATGTTTCCTGCATTGTTTTTTCTCTTTTTATTTTTTATTATGATTTTTTTCAAAATTTTATTTGTTCATTTTATTTTTTAAATATTAATTTGGTTAAAAATTTAGTTTTGTAGTTTTTTTTATTAGAAACATTATAGATTGTAATAATATTTTTCTATATAATTTTTTATTATAAATTTATAACAACACATAAATATATCATTAGTCTGCAGCATCATGTATGCATGACATCTAGTTATTATTATTATCAATCCATTGGGTGAAGCCCAAATTGCCTATATCTTTTCTAGCCTTGTGGATGTGTTATTCCAATACGCATCAATATTCTAACTCCTTTGTTTTACACTACCTTTTCTATTTCTTTTTCTTTTTTGCAAGTCTTTTTAGGAACCTTAGCTTATAAATTGAACATTCAACTCCTTTTTCATTAGTAAGTTTTCTTTAACTTTATGGGAGTGTTTGTAATGTTGTCTTGCGTCTTCTCTTTACAATAAATTATTTAAAATATTAGGGTTTATGTGTTAGTTGATATATATTATGGGTTTATTTGAATTAATTCATGTGTGTGTATTTGTCTGTTTAATTGATAAACTTTGATGCATTTTGAATAAAACCTTAAGAAATTTTAGTACTAAAAGAAAATAGGAAAATATAGAAGAATTATGTAGAAAAATCAGTATTGAAATTCTAAAAAATGTGTTGAGCTGGAAGATGAGAAAATTATAGTTTAGTCCTTAATTAAAAAAAAATCCTCCAAGATCTTCTGCCAAATTTTTTTTTGGATATAAGGATAATATAGGTATTTACTATACAAAAAGTAGAAAATGGCAAAATCATAATTTAGCCATGAGGAGAAAAGGGCACATTTTTAAATAACAGAGCATTAATTAACGTGAGTTGAATGTAAAATACTTTGAATATCTTGAAAAAGCTGGTGTGTAAGTAAACAAAAAATAAATTAAGATTTATATATTCAACGGAAAAAATATATTAAAAGTTGCTGTAATTACTTATTCTTTGTTATGGTAACGTTGCCCAAAATCTTTGGGGTAAAGAAATGCTATGCTGGGGCCAGAGTGCCGGGCACTTCACCGTCGCACATGAAAGTTACCCCTAGCAGCACCCACCTTAAAAGAAATAAAGGGAGGGGATGGGCTTGAAAATCTAATCTCCCGTAAAATTAAAAAGAATTAGGCGTCTGAGTAAATGAGCTTTGAAGGTGCAGTATAAAGCTAGATTAACCTTTGAAATACGTGTGAGATGCAAGGGAAAAGCTAAAGGGTGGCCGAGATCATAATAATGCGGGCAAAAGGAATAAAGCGCATCTCTTTCATCAGTGGAGGTCATAAGCCGAGAATCGGTAGAGACGCCTTTCATAAAAGAGAAAGCCGGTTTTCTTCTTCTTTCTGATTTTGAGCTTTCGATTTCGATCCGAGAAAATAAAAAAAAAAAAAAAAGGAAAAGGAAAAAGAACACAGAGACAGGCCTTTGCAAGGAGCTGAGATCAAAAGAGAAATGATGACGTAGGTAGGCACGCGCAATTTGGCTCCGGTCTCGCTTCTCTTCGGTGAGCAGGGCGGCAGCTTTGTGTCTAAGCCCGGAGAGGCAAGACCGTGCACCAAAATTTGTTCGGACCTCTAAGCTTGTCGGCCTGGGATGTTGCCAAGACCTTAAGGAGACCCATCCAAGGAGCACATATGATCACATTGGTCACCATCAAACGTGCTCCTTGACCTCTCCCCCTTCTGCCCTTCTTCAGAACTCTCAGGGTGTCCCCATCTCCGAACTTTGAATACAGAATCTGTTTGTATCAAAGAACCGCATTTCCAATTCTTTATAGGGTGAATAGTGTTCGTGTTGTTATTTTTTAAAATGGTTTTTATTTAAATATATATAAAAATAATATTTTTTATTTATAAATTATTTTTAATATTAGTCCATCAAAAATAATATGAAAATATTAAAAAAATATTAATTTAATTTTTTTTAAATACAAAAATAAATAAATTTCATTGCAATTGCGACTTCTTTTTTTTATTTGTTTTTATTTTAAATTATTTTTAAATATTTTGATAAACTAATGTAAAATATAAATTTAAAAATAAAAAAAATATTATTTTAATATATTTTTAAATAAAAAATATTTTTAAAAATAATCCCCCAAAATTATAACACTAGTTAAAAAAAGCAACCTTCCTTCATCCATCACAAAGTTCAAAGCTTTTTAACGCTTGAACGTGATAGATGTTTTTGAAACAGTAAGCATATTTTATTGTAATTTTGGTTTTATAATGAGAAATATTTTTAAAAAGTTCTTTTAACTAAAATTATTTTAAAATAATATTTTTTATATGTTTATATTTTAAATATCAATATATCAACAAAACAATTAAAAAATCTCATTTTTTAATTTTTTATAACAAAAATATTTTTAAACATACTCAAACACAATTGAAAAGAAATTATCTAATAAACACTTAATAATTGTTACACTTAACCATTAAGGTTATGTTTAGTAATTTAGTTAGATATGATTAAAACTGTATTTTTAACTAAAATATAATTTTAAAGGTGTGTCGTTAATCAATATATAAGGATAATTTTATATTTACATCACTAAAATATCTACTAATATTTGGTTATAAAAAAATTATGAGTTATGACTTTTAAAAATTAAAATAGTAAAAAGTATCGCAAATAATCTAGATAATTAGCTCAACCAATCATGGAGGAGTGATGGAGGTCCCAGAAGTGGGCTCCAATGATCATGCCACGTGAACACTTTATTTACTGTGGACCTGAAATTACCATAAACTTACAAAAAGCAACAAGCGAGATAACCATAGCCTCCCTTTGGTATAAAGCATCTGTCCCCTAAGCCCCTACCACCTTTGCTGCTCAAAATAAGTAATACTAGCTGCTAGTTCAAAACCACAGACTCTCTTCTTGACTCCACAGCCATTATGGAAGAGATCCCTCTTATCAAACTTCGCAGGCCGGATTACAGCCCGCTCTGCAGCAATATTCCGCTGCCAGAGAGCCCAAAACTTCCAATGGAGTTCTTGTCAAGGTCATGGAGTGTCTCGGCTCTTGAAGTCTCAAAATCTCTCTCCAGCATGGCCTCTAACAAGTCTGCAAGTAGCTCTACTTGTACTACTGCTTCTTCTATACCTGAAGATGTCACTGGTGAGATGACCGAGGCGATTGTGCAAACCAATCCGTCTGCTAATTATCAGTTTTCTTTTGCTTCTTCCGCTACTTCCCAGCTTTTACTCGAGCGTATCATGTCACAATCAGTAAGTCCATATGATAACGCCTTCAAAATTGGAGAGTTTCGACCTCCAATTTCTTTTGCTTTAGGCCGGATTACAGCCGAGCCTGCAGCAATATTTCTTTTGTTTCTTCCGCTACTACAGCTCAAACTGTGTTTCGTATAAATTTGAAAAAAAAAATTGTGTTTTTAAATTCATTTTTTTATGTTTTTAAGATTATTTTAATGCGTTAATATAAAAAATAAATGTTAAAAAATAAAAAAATATTTAAAAAAATCTCCACAATAATTCCAAAAGCTACAAGGAAAACGCCCTCTTCTTTTATGTTCCTCTGACATTATTTAATGTTCATGACTTTACAATTAAGTTATTTTTGATGTTGTAGGAAGTGTCACCATTGGCTTCAGGGAGGCTCTCTCACAGCAGTGGACCTTTAAACTTAACAGAATCAGACAGCCCCCCAATTTCACCCTCTGATGATTTTGAAGACATTGTTAAGGTTTTGTATATATGTTTCTTCCTTAAAGATATTCCATGTTATTCCATTTTTTTCCAAATTTTAAGCAGGGATACGGAGGTTAATGAGAGGTCATTGAGCTGTAGTTTATCTGATATTATCTTATCCTCTCCTCCTATAAACAATTCTCGAGTTCTATAGTCAGGAAAAAGAAAGGTAGAGGAAGACGGCATCAATAACAAGCAGACCAACCTCACACCTTTCTCTGACTCTGCCTATCCCTATAACGCCTAGATCTTTTTCTTGTCCCAGCACTTTAGTTTACAGCGGTACTGAATACGCAGAGAGACGCCTTTGTCTTGTTCCAATGACACTTTTTTTTTCCTTGATATATTTTTGAGGTGTCTCGGCGACTAGGTTGAATTTATGGTCTTCCCTGATAATCTTAGAGAGAGAGAAAACACAAAAAAGAAAAAGGCTGCCACCTGAGGTGAGCTGTTACTCATTAGCAGTCATGGGCACGATTATCTGCTGTGTCCATGGACTCCATTCCCACATTTCAGTGGGCACTCTAGTGATATTTTTGTTTTTTCTTAACCATTGAAGTTAATATTTTCTTAATCATGATTATGTTTTTCTTAACTATACATGATTTTTCTTCTTGGTTCCTTACACCCATGCATACGAACACCATCAGGGCATGATTATTTTGAAAAGCTTTTCACGTTGTCCTTTGACTCGGTTGCATTCGTCGAAAAGGGAAAAAATTCTGAAGACCTATCCAGCTAGTCAAAAAAGTACCCGCAAACTTCCAAAGTTTCCCATCAAGAGAATTGATGCCTTTGTAAAAACTAGGCAGGTTGATTGAAGGAGTGGGGTCAGAAAGCAAATTAAGTTGAAATTGGACTCGTCAAGTTTCCCAAGAAATTTTGCTTGTCTTGCTTATTTGAAGCAAGCTCTGACTTGGACATGCTGCGAAGTTTACTACTTTTATTTTACTTCTAGAATACGTAAGCAATTCCTGTTTTTTTTGTGATTTCGAGACATGAATTTTGTGACCAAAGTGACATTTTTCCGACACTGACAAAAGAAATGTAGGATCTATATAGCCTGATCCTTCTAATCTTTCACCATTTACCCTAAATAATCACCCATTCAGATGGAACGGTAAGCATGCTTACCGTAGTTCACTTTGTTTCCTCGAGGAAATGAACAGAAATTAGTGTGTTTTAAGCTGACATGACATGACTTATAGCCTCTCTAGGTGTGCATGCACTTTTGTTGCTGATGATACCGATACGTTCTCCGTGCAGTATTTTCGTTCTCACAACTCCTTGAACCCCCTATTCAATGGCGGCCGTGCCAGTGCTGGACCTGGCAGCGGTGCCCCTCCGAGTGGAGCCAAGACAGTTGGGAGGTGGTTGAAGGACAGAAAAGAGAAAAAGAAAGAAGAAACTAGAGCCCAGAATGCACAGCTCCATGCAGCTGTTTCAGTTGCTGCGGTGGCTTCTGCCATAGCAGCCATTGCAGCAGCCACAGCTTCTGCTTCAGCAGCACGAA